GTTAAGTATTGTGTAAAAGTGAAATTATGAACCTCAGAACAGTATCCTTACTAATATTATAAAGGCGAAAGTTTGTATGTATGGATAGATGTTTGTTACTCATTCACGCAAATTAATACTGAATGGATTATAATGAAACTTTACAATTAAATAGCTTATACATCAGAATAAGACGTAGGCTATAATTTATATACATATTTTATGTATATCTGTCTTTCTGTTTTAATGTTACACTTTCAGCCTATTCTACGCAGACGTAGTCGCGGGCAGCAGCTAGTGTGTTATAATTGCAAATGTTCTAGTCATCATCATAATCCTCCTGCCCTTATCCCACCACGTGGGGTCGGCACAACATGTGGATCATGTTGTAAGTGGTTTTCGCTAGGTTTTTTACGATCGGCCGCCTGCCTGATGTCAACCCTTCTTGGAAACAAACACCCAGGAATAATTATCTGTGGGAATTTATTGTGGGAATCGAACTCACGACTTCCGGCGCTGGTGTCAATACCTTGGCAACTGAGCCACCGAGTTTAGAAAAAATTGGAGACGTTATGGGACGCGGTGAATTCTTTTACAAGAGATTAAATTTACTGGTTTTAATAGTCTACGGGCTGAAAGCGAGAACATGACTCATATAAATACATGTCTAAGATACCTATAATATTTCATATTACTATTACAATCATCATCATTATCATTTCAGCGTATTCACCAGCCTCCATCATCAGATCACCATGTAATCATAATAATGCATTGTCATGCGATTTCCACATGTATGCAAAATTTCAGCTCAGACAGTAACAGAGAAGTGGATCAAATTTAATTTGCTAGATTTGATGATAAGCATCGAGACAGGTGAAACTAAATGACTCCGTGGCGCAGTCGCCAAGGTATTGGCTTCGGCGTCGGGGGTCGTGGCTTCGCTTCCCACACGTGACAACTATTTGTGTGACCCACAGATAGTTGTTCCGCATCTGGGTGTATGTCCGCGTAAAATTTATGTTTGTAAAAACGTCCTTACAATGCAGGATAATGTTATCCCAAAGTAAGGGCAATCTTTTTTTAAAAAAAGAAAAGAAAGAAAGAAAACTAAATAAAAGCTTGTAAAAAGCATGGTCGCAATAATGCTTTGGCTTTGAAAAGCCGTTTGCTTTTATGTAAAAGGTCCGTCCTAATTGATGTAAACTCATATATTTTTATGTATGAAGAAAACTAAATGCTGACCAACTGCCGGTATAAGGAATAATGAAAACATTGAGGAATATTCGTCGCAAAGATATGGCGAAATTTCCCGAACAATGCTCATACATTACAGAATTGGGACTTACCTAAACGGAATAACTGTCCTGAGGGAACATTATCATCATTATTTCTGCATGTTTGAGTCCACTGTTGAACATAGGCCTCCACATTTAATAGGCTTAGGTGTACTGGACTTCAGCCTATCCAACTGCACCTTAGTAGCTCGATATACCGATAGCCAATTTGGCCCAAATTACCGCCAAATACATAAGGACGGATTATACTCCTCGTTTTTCTGTATAATCTGCCGGATTATTATATGCTATTACCGTCGACTATCGACATGTTGATAAATTTTGAAATTTCGTTTATAAATATTGATATTAGAATAAGAAATGTTTTACTATTTCCATTGAACAAAATATAGTCAGGATTATCCAAAGATAAAGAATAATAATTTCTTGTATTTACGCGATTACACATTATAAATGAAACTAATTTTACGGATTTATCGCGTTTATTTTTAATTTTAATTCCCGACGTTTCGAACCCTTTACAGCGTTCATGGTCACGGGACAGACTGAGGTGTTAGACGTCTGATTGTCATAGTTAACCCGGGCTACCGTCAGTTTTTGAATTATTAATTTTTGGGATCCTGTCATCAATAAAATTAAATCTAGGCCCAAACGAACCACTACTGCAAGACAAGATACAATTAGCTCCCTCTGCATAGATCGGACACAAAATTAATAATTCAAAAACTGACGGTAGCCCGGGTTAACTATGACAATCAGACGTCTAACACCTCAGTCTGTCCCGTGACCATGAACGCTGTAAAGGGTTCGAAACGTCGGGAATTAAAATTAAAAATAAACGCGATAAATCCGTAAAATTAGTTTCATTTACAAAGATAAAGAAGTCAAAAACATTACAGTAGTATAAAAGATTTCTTTAGATATCATTTAATGTACCGAAACCAATTAGCATTCCGAAAATAAGCTTATCTCTTTAGAATGTTAATATAGTTTATTGAAATATTGCTTAGCATTAAGTTTGCAATGGAATCTTATTGTATTGCATGAGCAAAGCATTTTTATAAAAGCATCAAAGGCTTTATAAAAATGTTACGCGCGTTATTATTTTTGAACATAAGTAATGTTCGTATAAAATTTCCATATGTTTGAACGACGGAAAAATTATCCACAGAACTATTTGAGATTTCAAAAAAGATACACTCTTATTTTTAGATAGAAAAAAAAAAGAAAAAAACAGAAACAGAAAAGTGAATTCAGCTTTCATCTCTCATCGGCGAATAACGTTTTATTTATTCGTACATTACTGAATTTCAATTGACTCGCTTTAAAAGGAGTTCAATTTAATGAGTTTAGTTCCATGTTCAAGTCCTTTAATCAGATTTGTAAAAATATTTTTTCAGGTCACGAATTTCGTTCAAGAATTGGATTTTATTTTAGCCAATCGTACTTTGACATCAATTTGCAGACGGAGAGCGGACGAGAAAATTAAAACTAAATCATTATTCAGGAGTTGCGAACCGAATATTTAATGTAGGCTTTTTTAAATGTAAGGTAATTTATTCGATTTATTGGTAAAAGCCACATAAAACTCAAGCTTGTTCGACGAGGGTCAACAGTCCATATTTCAGCTGGTGTATTGTTTTGTAATTACATGATATAAAAATAAACAACATCGATACCGTTATCAGCTGATGATAACCAAGTTTGTACAAGGAACAATAGTAGCGGTAGAAACGACGCGTTTTATTGTTAGATCTACTGATGTTGTATTCGGGTTAACGTTTATTCGTGGTAAGGCCACGTAGCAGCTCCTGCTGACGCGGACTCGTCCAGAAAAGTGAGGTAACCGGGGTGCACTTTTTGGTGGTGGGCAACGCATATACAACCCGTCAGGTATTGTAGATATCCATTGGTGGCGGTAATCACTTACCATCAGTTTACTTAAAAACTTGTCAAATCTTCACACAAAAAACGTTAAATATCCCTGCAATTGAAATTAAGTTTTAATTGAATATTACCATTAAATGTTATTCAATTTAATTAACGCATTAAGTAACCAAAACTGGTGGTAGTAAAAGAGCAAGTTAAGGTATTTCATTCTAATTATTCATTGACTTAAAATATTAAGTTGATAACTGAAAACCATAAAACTTCTTTATTATTAAAAAACAATACTATAATAATAATTCAAAATTTCCTTAGGAGCAATTTCGAAGATTTCGTCGAAGTGTTCCTAAACAAGACCAACGAGAATGCTCTTAACTTCTGCTTTTCATTTTCACACACATACACGCTCCGAGTTACGTAAAAGTTTTCCAAAGTTATAACTTCATTGACAAGCCTTACGAGTCGAGATTTTAGTAGCAAACCAACGCCTTTCACGTGTTATGAGTGTTGCTGTTCACGATTTGCAAAAAAATACTTCACACGGAAAGACAATAACATTCGAAATCTATGATTACTTTTTATTTTTAGAGCTAGTTGGTGACTAGGTCTAAAAATAAAAAGTTATCATATATCACTTCTTATTTTCAAGGTCACGATGATTCTTTGTACCACCTACCATAAGCTCTCACCACATCCTGGACAGAGAATAATGTATGAGTGGTAGAGAATGCCTTTGGGCTTTAAGTCCGCCGTTTGTTACCTGTTTGACTTAAAGTTGGAAATGATGATTAAATAAACTTTAAATTTGTGAGTTTACAGACGCAGAGCTATGAACGATATTCTTACGCCGCTAAGATCAATATCAGCATGTATCTAATTTATATTTATATATTTCTTTTTGCATATTTAGCATTCGGGCCCTTCCCAGCGTGCCTATTTACAGTACGCCGACACTTTCAAATAACATTTCGCAACAAATATTTGCACGAGAGAATTTTATTCAAATTAGAATTTCAGGTTTTCTGACATTCTGAACTTAATGAAATTTCATATTGAGTGCAGACTAGAACTTAAAATAAAAAATATTATCCTCATATTTAGAAAAGTTGCCCTCATTTTATTTGAAAATTTATACTGAATCCGAAGAGAGTAGAGTTCTAAAAAAATATGTTACTCATCTTTTCATTAATGAGATATGGGCCAAGTACGAGACTTATTGTTGGTATGTAATAGTCTCTACAATAATCCACATATGTGGTAGGGTTAACATGGTGGAGATATATTTTATTACTATCCACATTTTGTTGTGCTAGTAAATCCTAAAAAACTGATAGGAGATGAACCTAGTAAACTCCTAAAAAGGTATATATATAAGGGACAGCGATTGTTTGCACTGGAGTCCTAAGCGTACTGAAAGCGTTATCTTTTTTAGTCACCTTTTATGACAACTGGGGACAGGACATACTTTAGCTGTATTCGGAGAGCTTGAGGCTACAGGACTATTGCTTTTTTTTTACTTGAAAAGTTGCCAAACGAGCAGACGGTTCACTTGATAGTAAGTGAAAACCGCCGCCCATGGACATCTGCTACACCTGAGGGTTACAGAGGCGTTGACAACTTTATGAAAATTGGGCTCCGGCTACCTCACTCACCAGACGAAACGCGAAAGTATTTGTCATACTTCCACTTTACGCTGGTCTTCTGTGAGGTCGTGGTACTAACTCGGACGGGCCTGCCCATTCATGCAACAGCCGAGGCTGCTACGTGGCCCTACCACCATTACAATGCTGCCTTAATTAAGGGTTGGTTTCAATAAAATCCTACGATAATACTTACGTAAGTGCTAAGTCCAGCTAACGGGACCCCGTTTGCGGACAGAAGAAGGTCTCTGGGTGCGAGACGACCAGTCCTCCACGCGGGCTGCGGTGGGTACAGCCTCCGTATCCTGACCAGACCGCCGCCTCCGCAAACAGACATGCCGAGCCCTCTGCCGTCTTTCTCCACCACCACGGTAAAGGTGTTTTCTGTGGAAAGAGAAACATAGTGAGTAAACGGAAGATTATTGTCTGATGATGATTTTAGTGATGAGCTTAGTGATCGGATGCTCATTTTTAATTTAGTATACTTGAGTATCCTCAGTTCAAATACCGATGCTAGCACCAAAGAAATAGTAAATTGCAATTTTAAGTAGTGACTAATCATAAGCTCAGCGTAAAGTAATATCTTTTTCTAGCGGACCTGACAGACGTCGTCCTGTATACACGTTAAATCCGAAAATTTGGAACTTTTAAATAAGTTTGAATCTAAACCATTCTCAAATCCACCTGAAGACACCCAAAAAGTATCATTAAAATCAGTCCAGCCGTTAAGGAGGAGTTCAGTGGCATACCTACACACGTACAGAATAATTATATATTTATAGCTAAGCCAGCATATTTTCGAAACAATAACAAAAAATATTTCGAAGATAAGTGAAGTCTGCCAATCCGCAGTGGGCTCACCTGGTGAACTACGCCCTAATACGTTCTCCCTCTACAGACGAGGCCATTGCCCAGTTGTGTAACATATATAGGCCGTACATACAACGAAGCGACACTTGAAATAAAATAATGTTGTGTAAACATTGAAAGCAAAAATAACTTAAAAAATCGAAGATTAAAATTATGACAAATTAAATTTCATTACAATATCGCATAGCATTCTTGGCAACGATAACGAGATAAACTTGAAGCCGTATGCGCACAATGCCTTGGCAGGTGCAAACTGAAGTAGGAATGTAGCGCAAAGGTAAATATCATTTTAATGAGTTTCTCGGCGACAGAAGACAGAAGGTAATGCGGATTTTATATGAATAATAAACAGGGGAGCGGGCGCACTAAGCGCAATTTCGCTAACTTTGCGTCAACATTGTTTAAATACGATTGGGGACCGTACAGTCGCCTGAAAGCCTCGCCGGGGGAGGCGGGGCAAGGTTCGTGTAACGCTAAGCGGACAGGTAAGTCGGGGCTGTTTGGCCATTATCAACATTGTTTGCCCTGTCCCCCCCGGCGCGTTCAGGTCGACTTTTAGCTGCACTGTGGTCAGATGTTTCAGCTGAGATCGCAGCTCCCCCGCCGTTAATGGCACGAATACATTAACTTCTCATTCGGTATTCGCAGCGACGGACCTCGCGTTTCAGTATGTCGTCTCGGGGAGTTGGTCGATTTGTAATAGTTTAACCTAACATTTGCACACGAGTCCGCTTGAATATTTCTCAGTGTGTTTTGTGTCTAATGATTTTTTGATTTACAAGTCTTGATTTTGGAATACTTAGTTATATTGATTTTGTTTTTCTTGTCCCAGCTGTTGTTTAAAAAAGTAAGTAGAAGATTTTCTAATTGAAGAACACATATTCATTTTCATGATCGCATTCGAAATATTAAAGTATGTCTTTAACATCGTGTTCCGTTCCATGTTAATAACATGGAATAAGAACGGAATAATAGTAATTTTACGTAAGTTTAGTCGCTTTATTATTCGGTAATAATGTCGGTATTTCGGTAATAATGTCTCACGAAGTTTTGTTAATTTTATGGAAGATATAGATCTAGAACACAAGGACAAAACTGTAGCAAAACCCGTAAGTATAAAAAAATAAAGAAATTTAAACGATAGCTTAAGAAGTTCGCAAGAATCTTTAATATAACAACATGATGGATTTTAAGATAACTTGTATTTAGTTTTAGTGTATATTCAATATTTAAACTTAATTAGTATTTAATATTATTTCATCGCCATTTTTTTAGAACTTAGGATCCTACAATATTAAAAACAATAAATAAATAATTTTTAAGCTTGAAATTATTTTTAGCATGCATTCTGCACTTAACTGGTGGAAGGCCTAATTAATTATATAATAATAACCTCAGCAAAGGGAAGTAAGTTAATCAAAGGAAACAAATATGAAATCATTTTTGGCATAACAGAGCGAAATACCGTATGGAATGATACAGGAAAGCCCTTACACAGTGATTTGCCGAAATCCACTCGGCGAATTCGCCACGTAAAAGTAATATAACTTTTCGAATTACTCCGATATTCCCCTTATGCCGTGAGAATTGCGCGGAAACAAGCGGAATTGAATGGGATCATTGTCGGAACTGTTTTTGTATTTCCTCCGGGCGATGTATAATTCATATCGACGACCGTTCGGCTTGTTGCTAGGCCGGTGGAGATTTAATTTGACCATTAGTAGAAATCGACCGATTATGCTTTTAATAATTCAATTTCATAATACTTACCTAATAATTAATTTGATATGTAAGATACATTTTAACGTGCCTAAAAGACAAGATAAATTTAAAGAAGTTATAGAAAAAAAATATAAATATTGACTTGACATTTTAACCTATATGCCAAGTTATTCCGGTCAGACTTTTAAAAAAATTCACGTTGCGCTGGAACTCTGAATTCAACGGATCGCAGTACTTTACGGTCTGTTGCATTGCACGCGGCCACAGAGTAAAAAAAAGTAAACTTATATTTGTTTATTCATAAAGAAAATACACTTCGCACTCAAACAATTGCAGATTTTCTTTAACATCTACGTATTTGAACCTTATGTTTTGTTGTTTAATATTTATTAAAATCCTCCTTAGAACATAACGACTGCGTAACGAACTGCGTCAGAAGATCATGTCCGTTTAATATTAATAAATTCGTACAGATTTTAGAGTTATTCAATTTTTTACGTTAATATGTAAACAATATCATATTTAACATTTTTATTATATATTCATAAGAAAATAAGATTGAATATAAAAACATAATTATTTATAGCCAACACATGTTTTTAAATGACTCGATAAAGAGCTCGTAAAAGAGTTTAAGAGTACCTGCGATAATTGGCTGGCTAAGATAGTTTTAATAATTTAAAAATAACTCGTGGTTTTATGAAATCACGGTGCAAAAGATACTTTTTCGAATCTTAGACATTCATTGAATATTGTCAGTAAAACTTTAATTATTAATTTTAAAATAATTAAAAAGTAAATTTAATATAGGTAAATGGTACACGGATTAAAAGCTGGTGCGAGCTATGGGCACCGCAATATTGGTCTTGGCTGCTTTGCCGAGTCTTTCACTTCACCTCTACTCTGCGGCCGGCTGTATTGCGACATGCGATAGATGGACGAAAAAATTACAGGCGATGGAAAAAAAGATACACTAAAAAATGACGCTACGCAAATGGTAAAGAAAAAAACATCCAAACATTGAAACTGAGAAAAAGTAAGAACTTTTGACATAACAAGTTATGACAAAATTTTCAATTAGCACTTTCCGCTTACAAAATTACTGGCATATTCCAATTTTGAAATTTGGAGCGGCGTCAAAGCAAGCGTGCAGTTGTTTCTCCTAAAATACACACTTGAAAAGACGTTAGCGTTCGAGTTATTTACACAGAAGAGTGCTCGAAGCGGTGTCGTGGTGTTTGCGCGGCACTAGTCGCAAAATTGAAATGTTACAAGGCGTTTCAACTCCGTAATTTTATACATTTATATTAAAAGGATGAACGTGCTGTTACTAAAGTATAATGTAAGCATTCGCGAGATGAAAATATTAAATAATTGACAGACAAAATATTAATAAATAAATAGCCAAGAATGGTCAGTACATTACGACATACAACTAAAAATATCATTGAACATACTTTTCGCTAAATTAAAACATGTAGAAAAAGTACGAAAAGATTGTCCCCGCTGTGGGAAACGATCCCACGTCTTCGGCATTCGCGGCCTGACGCTCTAGCCACTGAGCTAAACGCCTTCTTTCTACATTGTTATTTAGCATTTGTAGCAATGCTTGGCGCATCTATTGTTATATCCTTTTCAGCATACAAAAAATTTCGAATATCGTTTTACAACGATAATTCGAACAAGATGTCGCCATTGCTTTTTATACATTTTAAAGTTTTTTATAGTGCTGCGTCAGGCCGCAAATCCCGAAGACGTGGGTTCGATTCCCACAGCGGCGATAATCTTTTCGTACTTTTTCTATATGTTTTAATGTTCAATCTTAAATGCAGAGATTAGCACTATAAAAAACTTTAAAATTTATACTTTTCGCTATTAAAATACAGATATCTATCAAAGTTGCATAAAAATAGAGTAGAGAGGGATTTGTTTATCATGTTTGTCTATAATTTCTACAACTGTCTAATTTTAATCTTTAGGATATCTTCATCATAATAAAGTGAAAATAATGAAACGTAGAGACTAATTAAATGAAACTAGTTTACGGATTTTCAGTCTGTTCCGTGACCATGAACGCTGGAAATGTCGGGAGTTCAAATCAAAATAAAAAACGCGATAAAATCCGTAAACTAGTTACATTTAATATGCATAATATTCGCGTAAAATCAAGAAAACAATACGTAGAGACGAAGGTAATCTAAGATGTGAAACTATTCCTAACTATGTAAGTATATCAAATAGTAATGGATATAGGAAATGTTTTGTCATTACCATACCATGTTTATAAATGGCATGTCACCTTTTTATTGGAAGAAAATATTTCAACACTGCGTGGGCTAGAAATACTTGAATTGTGGCATATTCACACAGCTCGCTCCTGACGTCGAAGGTGCTCAACCATAAGGCCTATAGGCGGGACGCGATGCGTGTGAATCGCTCGCATATTGCTACACGAACTGACTCGCGGCTTCGGCGGCGTGTAATTACGAAAAACTTTTTTTTTTTGTGAGACGGTAGCAAGCGAGCTGTCCGTTCGCCTGATGTAAAGTGATAACCATCACCTATGGACTTTCGCAACACCCGTAGGGTTGTAGTTGCCTTTTAATAAAGTGGGCCCCGGCTACCTCAATCACCAGACGAAACGCAGAAGTATAACACTTCCACTTCACGACGGTCATCTGTAAGGTCTGGCGTGGTACTTACCAGGATGGACCTGCCCATTCGTGCAACAGCCGGAACTGTTGGGTGGCGCTTACCACAGTTACGGTATTACGCTTTGTATGTGTTCCACC